ATGTTATGTCATTAAATTAGCCTTTCTTTTGTAGAAGGGTTCATGTGAACATCCCAACTGCTGACTCACAAAATATCCTCTCTGCTTGAAGGTGGAAATATGGAATACCAATTGCATCAAATGGAAATAACCCTACTTCCTAAACTTGACTCCTACCCTTGATATCAGTCACAAAGCTTAATAACTAACCAATACCAGTGGATCATTCTACCCCTTTGCTTTGCAGATTTCCATAACTGGTAAGTTTTAGGTGTAAGGAACAGGTACTGCCTGCATCCTGATGAACTAAATCCATACCCAACTAGCATAACAGCAAGATAACAATCAAAACAAACAAGCTAATGTGCTGACATCATCTGCAGAGCATCCTAGAAATAGAGAAGACAGACTACAGTTTGAAATTCTATAAAACTAAATCTTACTCAGTCTTTTCTTAGCAACAAGTGCAGTTTGCTGAAGCCAGATGGAATATTTTAAATTGACATTCTGAACCCAAGGAATAATTAAGGGTCCGAAATGCATCTTTTTTTATATGGAAGAAAGAACACAGAGGAATGGTTTCTAACCAAAGTACTTGAAGCCTAGTCATGAATCTAAATAAAGCAGTAACACAGTACTCCATCTTCAGAGGAAAGCAGTTTAAAATGGACCTTAGAGATGTTTAATCAGAGACTCAGAAGCAGTACATTTTCTTGATTCGTTAGCTTGCAACAGACCTATGACAACTTAGCATCTCCTTGTTCCTCAGTATCTAAGTTTACTCCACGTAGAGAAAACAGGTTGAGATTGCCAGCTGTTGAATTTCAGAAGAGGTCTAGAAAAGTCCAGCCTCTTCACTACAATCTCTGGACACTGTAGGAGTAAATAGGGACAGACTTCCTTAACTACCTCTCAGAAAAGCTCCCCAGTTTGGGCATTCCTCTGGTTGATAATTCCCTGCTCTAGTGCAGACCCTCTTAAATCAGTGAAGAAGTGGCCCTGTCCGTGGTGCTCAGTCACAATACCGTGCCACCAGGGAGCTGCTGTGCTTGCAACAGCTCTGAAGCACCTGGAGCTTCCGATTATTTCCTTTTAGGCCTGAACACTAATACATCCTATCTGCCATTTGGATTATTACTACCCTTAAGCAATTTGAAAAGCAAAGTACACGTAGCAATGACATGCGCTAGCAATGGTGTGGTCCTATCACAAAGCTTGCCAGTTTCTCTGAATGACAAGCACAATTAAATGAAAAACACGTCCTACTTCAAATCAAAAATCATGGGAAAGTCCAAAAAGTGTGCTGGAAGGACTAACTCCTACTGGAATAGGCAGGAAATTATACTTGTCTAGTTGCATCTTACCTAGTTACAGCCAAGACATGTATGCCACATTCCGTTGTTGAGTCCTCTACAAGGCACAGCAGAATAGACGACTTCATCTCTTTCAGGAGGGGTTCTGCCCTTTAAAGCAACTTTAATTTGGGGATTAAACACCAGTGGCTTCTCAGATGTGAACTAACGTGAGAAGTGAGTAACTCTTTTCAAAAAGCCTGACCCAAACCTTCCCAGAGTGCCTTTTATAACCAAAGGTGTAGAACTGTCTAATACAAGAGTTTACAGGTGCCTTGCTTTGCTGTGTAAATTACCTACATTACAGGCTGACAGCAGAAGTCATTGAAACTACCAGGTGAATATAACCAGAAATTCTACATGCACTCAGTATCGTAACACTTAAATGTTTTTATGGCAAGAGGAACCGCTGATGACCTAAATGTCTTGGAGAAGTACAAAGGTAACAAGCAGGTGAACATTATTTGAAGAGACCAGAGATCTCTTGCAGCCAACATTTCACTCACACCCTTTGCAGTGGGTTATTTGCATATCATGAGAAACTGCAACAACTTAAATCACATACTGAAAAGTCTGGATGCGGTTCCAAAAATGCCTCTATAGACTATCTTGTCCATCCAGACTGTTTGCACCACTACGTGGGAGAACTCTGAGACTGGAAATGAGAAACTATTTGCTCTCCAAGCTTGACAGCTGTGATAAAGAGGCACTTAAGTCAGAGGAGAAGACTCACTGCACACAACTGTAGTTCCTCCAGCTGAGCAAGGGAATAATACTGCCAGATTATGATGGCTGTTCTCACCCATAAGATGGGGTAAAAATGACTTGTTTCTCAGAGGAAAAAAAAACACTTTCATTCAGAAAACAATTTTATCTTACATTCCAAAAATGACATACCTACATACTAGACCACAAACAAAAGCTGATCTTATACTAGTGATAAAACCTAGACTAACAGTACATTGTATTGGTTTGAAAATTAGACTATTAGGAAGAAAACACATGGAGGCATCATAGGACTTTCATTAGACACTGTGAGCTGGGCAAGCATCCATGGAAAAATATAAAATGATTTAGCTGGATTTTCCACCCAGTTAATCGGTCCTGAAGCCAATGGAATCATGGTATAATTAAGCAGATTTCTCTAAAGAGCTCATAACAGTTCACACTGCTTTAATAACCTGTCTGTGTGTCAGAAAAGCTGAGGAAAAGAGAAAGTTTCAGGAATGAAGGAAAAATTAAGAAACAAAAAAATAAGAAAATTTTATTCTGAGTATCAAGCCATTTAGGAAACATGAAAATTGATAGCAATATTTAACGTTACAGTGGCAACAAAGTTAGTCACTAGTATTTTACAGCAAAAGTATTGTATTTCATTAGTAAGCAGCTTGACCATATTTTCATCTCAGTTTTGAAGTAAAAAAAGCTTATAAGCATGTGGTATGCATAAGAATTACTGCTCTCATGCAACATATTACAGTCATATTAATGTACTATAAAAGATACTAGTAACTTGTTTCATTTAGACGTGCCTTTTTAACTAAATACATTACATACAAAAGCCTGTGTTTAGCAAGAAAAAAGCTAAAGAAATATTGCCCGAGAAACTGCAGAAAACTAATATCCTTATATATTTTATTATTTCTATAGATCTTTAATAACACATGTACCCTCAAAAGTGGAAGTTTACCACTGTATAAGAAACTTAAGTTATTGCAGTTAAATGTATAATGCTGTACTAAACATTATTATAAAAGGATAATCATTTAGTTATCAGAAGACTACAAGCACAAAATCAAACTGGTAATTAAAGACAACAATGACATCTAGTGGACACTCCGAAAACAGACCCATAGCCTAACAAGGAACAGATCCAGCTGCTGTTACTGTTATACTATGTGCAACTCCCAAATTGCTACGATGCAATTAAGAAGATTAAAAGACAGAATTTGCACCTGATGAAAGTCAAAGTAATGTGATGATTTGTTTCTTTCAAAAGAATATTTATTAAAAAAAAAAAAAAAAAAGGAAAAAGAGCCAAGACCCTTCCATTTAAGTTCTAGGATAAAAGTATAGGTCAAGACTTGAGAGACCACCACAAATCATTGAAAGGATATAGATAGATACACAGTGCCAACATAATACGGGCAGACACGTTTACTACACTTTCTGTTCCCACTGTGTCTACAACCTTCTACTTATAACCTGCTCTTGTTGGTACTTCAAAGACTAAAAAACAAAATTAAAACAATAAAAATGCCCCAAAGTAAAAATTCAAACCACTATTTAGCACCCCCCTTTTCTCATCATTCTGATCCTTCTGTTACTGTAATACCTGCCATATAACAGAAGTAAGTCAAGCCTTCCCAATATATCAGCAAGTAGCTGCTGAGCTCCAGAGAAGAGGAATCTGAAACATGAGGCTACCATAACTCAAAATCAGCAAAGATACCTGCTGATGAGTAACTCTATTAGTTTACAAGGTGGACAAAGACCATGGATTATTTTAAATCTGCTTTTACCATTTACCAAAAGGCTAGCAAAACTAAGCAGTTTAAAGCAACTCAAATCTGATCTCAGTTGTTCCATCAAAGAAAATTTTTCTGGCTGGAACCTTCACCCTGAAAAAATACTGGTTTTGATTATTACACTTTTGTAAATAAAAACATTAACAAAACACTACAAATCTATGTCCCATTCCAAGTCTTAAGCATCAAACATACTATCTACAGAAACAGAAATAGGATTTTGCATCATATTAACACTGCATCCCTTCCAAAATTTCTACATCTCAGTGACTGTCCAGTATAAAAAAAAATATTGCAAGAGTAAAGCATCATTTATGAAGACATCTGATTTTAATTTACATTAGACTTCCAATTTAAATTGGTATCTTGCTTGCTTTATATATGATTTTGGAAAAGTTAGTGTTGCAATTCCCCTAGCTTTCACCATCAGTAGGAGCTAGCGTCAGCCATTAGCAAGTATGCAACAGGCCCTCACTTACATGAAGATTCTCTAACCAGTATAATACAATGAAACCTTTGCATAACTGATGATCAGGCCTTGTGCCCCAATTTCTTTTTGCCAAGGTCTCAAAGTAAGCTTTGAATCAGATGCTACTAGTTAATAAGAGTACATACAGCCTCCCAAAAATGACATCCAGACTCCAGAGACTTTTATGCACCATACACCAACATAACTGAAACCTGTGATTTTAAATTCTGATTCCTAGTGAGACTTAAAAGCTGAGCAATGCATTAATGAAAACTTGAATTCATGCCCCTTTTTTTTTAAAAAAGTAAAAAAATGCAAGTATTTAAAAGCTAAGTCTCTGTTTTGATGTATGCAATGCGTAAGGTTTGCAGATATTTTAAGTGAGATCAAAGTCTAAACAGCCCTGTTCTGGAAAACCCCACTCTCTATTCCATTACAGGACCTATATGTCAAGTCTGTTATTACCATGTTGGTAAGGGAGCCTGGTAAAAACAGAAAGCAGCCTAGTAAATTTACAAGATAAAAACTAAAAGCAAACATCAAAATAGACCCAGCCATTTTCCCCCTCCAAGCACAATGCCATATTTTACCTCCAAAAACCATTTTACTACATCAAATGTCCTAATGAGAGATGACTATTTTAAGACAGAAAGCAAAGCATCATTGACCTACCCGGATTTCCTGGAGATTATGAAAATTATTTCCTACTCTGACAGAGATTTTACTTGGAGTGTAACTTTCATCAGATTTGTAGTCTGCATAAATACATAATGTCTTCACTGTTGTTTTTCTCCTGCAAGACACAACAAAAGCTATGTAAGCACTGTAAAGAAAAATATTCAGGATGAGTTTGTGGCTAGACTGTAATAACTAAGAATGTAGTTGTTTTAAAAAGTAACACAGGTGTATCTATAGATTTCTAAGAGCCCTGCTGTTAAAGCAACTAGGCATTTTTCCACATTAAGTGACATGCACAGAGTGGATTTTCACTGTTCTTCTTTGCCTGCCTTCAGAATTGTCAGTATACCAACAAGTGCAACAAAAGGCCAAGATGCCAAATAAGCACTGGTATGTGATGAAGCCTATGTTTAGCTTATCAAATATGGGCTCTATTACTACACCAAAAAGTTCTCCAGAAAGCAAATAAAAAAGGTGATAAACATCATCTTCTTTAACCAAACTCTTAAGATAAGGCTAGGACTGACAGCATCATACTCAGAACAGAGTAGGAAAAGGTTTCTCAAACAATCAGTTGGTAAGTTATACAGGCTTACTTTAAGAATAGTCATCTACCCTTCAAATGACACTCAGAAAATCAGGACAAAAATGTCACCTTAGGTAGGGAAATGTGAAACTGTTACAAATGACATACTATTTAACATTCCTTTGTATTGCTTATTTAGGCATTTAGTAACCATAACATTTGAAAGCTCATTTTTATAAACGCTAACAAACTGGCTTCTTACCAGTTGGGTAAGAGGATTATGCCAGGAATCCTTGTACTTCCAAAATTCCTACCTTGGTGAACAGTAATCATGACAAAGTCACACAAAACACTGTAACCCATTGCCCTGGTTTCAGCTGGGATAGAGTTAATTTTCTTTCTAGTGGCTACTGTGTTTCAGATTTGGTATGAAAGGAATGCCAATAATGTATATTGTTTTAGTTGTTACCAGGTGATGTTTATTTTAGTCAAGGGCTTTTTTCAGCTTCCCATAGAAGCTGAGAGGGAGCATAGACAGAAGAAGCTGGCCAAGGGAATATTCCATACCATAGACATCATGCTCAGTATATAAATGGGGGTTGGCCAGGGGGATGGGCTGTGCAACCAACTCACAGGGCGGTGAGAATGACTTGTGTTGTATTCCTTTACCTTGTATATTTTTTAACCATCATCATTATTATTATTGTTGTTGTTATTATTATTTTCCTTTTCCATTATTGTTCTATTAAACTGTCTTTATCTAAACCCAGTAGGTTTTTTTTTTTCCTTTCCCCTCCTTTTCTCCCTACCCTTGGGTAGGGTGGAGGCAGGGAGAGGGGAGGAGAGAGAGAATTGAGTGACCGACTGCGTGGTCCTAGCTGCCAGCTGAGGTTAAACCACAACATCCATATAGAGTAACTTTTAATACCTAAATTGGATGTTCACCAAATGAGGCTGTGATCCATCTGACTGCCAGTAAGTTTCTAGATTATCATCTCGTAACTGATCCACTCCAAATCCTAAGAAAAAGAAAAGGTGATACTCTTGAATATCCCATTTCCATGATGTAGACACCACAGACATAACTCTTCCGCAGCTGTTACAAACTAAAGTATGTATCCTAGCTTATAACATAAGGAAATAGCTCTAGATATCCAAGTTGCCCTATGCTTTTGTGACAAAACTGAAACAGGGGAATATGTTAAACAAGGCTCAGTACGCAAGTGTCTTTACATTATCTCCTATTGAAGTCTGTGGGGTTTGAAACTAGTCAACATGTCCTGGAATTCCAAACAGTTAAGTAGTAATTCATACTAATTGCAAGAACAATGCTTAGTGGTTAGGCTTTTCCATCTATTCTATAATCTAACTACTGAACTAAAGGAAAATCATTAGCAGAGACCATTCATTTATTATAAAATTTTAGCCAAATATAACATTTTCTTTTCAAGTAGTCTCCTGAACTATTTTTACTTTTTCAAGTTAGTAGCTAGATCAAGCAATAGATGCCAAAACCAGTATTCCTGAAAGTTAACACTGTCACATTTAAAGAAACAACTCCAAATCCAAATTTTTCCATTCCCTCATTTGCCAATCACATCCTTTTATTGATTGCTCACACTAGTTGCTGGTTTAATTCAGCAGTTGAAGATTAATCTGCAATAAAAAACTACCTTCACTCTGTTTGAAGCAACTAAACCAAATGACATTTTTCTCCAAGTAAGGTACCAGGATATCAGACCAAAAGCATTCAAGCCTGAGCACAATATTGTGACATAAAGCGATCATTGACTCTAGGCTGGAGCAAGATATCAAATCAATTTCCAACAGGTATTTCTGAAATAGCAACTCAACCACCTCAAATGAAAAGAATACAGATTTTCAGACATTTTGAGCTGGTATAAGCTATCATTAACTGCACTTCAGGACAATTTATGATAGTTTTATTTTACTTGCAGGATTTAGGTCGCCCAGCTGCATGTTTTTTTTAAATTAAAAATTGAAGATACCCAGGCAAAGTGCCGAAGCATAGAAACAATTACTCTGTGCTGGGTATGTTCCTGCTCACGTGCTTTAGTTTCTTCACTGTGCAAGTAAAAAACCAACTTAGTATAAAATCAGTAAAAAAACTGTGTTGTTAATATGAGATATTTCTTCATTACAAGATTTCTGATATAGTTAAAACTTTCAGATTGCATCAAGTATAGACTAGGCCAAAATTATTAGTAGTGGCTACCCACACAGCTTACACTACAGCAGTTTTACTGTTACACTCAGTACATATGTCTTCTTATCAAAACATAAAACACTATATATTCTAAGAAGAAAAATGTACATTCAGCTTTTTACACTATTTATTGTGATTTTACCTGGCTTACAGGATGAAAGAGACCAAACTGCTTGTGAGCCTATTTCTCTAACAGTACCAGTCCTCTCTAACTGCTTTGGATCAGCACCAGGTGGTGTCTTGTTTGGGGTAGTCATTTCTAGTAAAAGAAAACAAGTGCGTTAGTTGATACACTTTTAGCTTGATGGGAAAATTAAAGGGTTGTGTTTGTTCATATAGACATTTCAATTATTTGGCCTCACACTTAGATCTAGTCTACAGAATATGCAGTTTATACATATAAACATATACGCATATGTATACATTTTTGCATGTCTGTAGAAGCTTTTAGTTAGATATAATATATAGAAATAATGTAAAAAATAAAATCTATCTTTAAATAAGAGGTTCCACATACACGTAAATTTTGTGTCCTTAAAACACACTTGGAACATTCAGAAGACGTATTTTATTTGTATCATTCTAATTCACACATACAGAGTTAGTCAGGGTTTCAGGATTTGTTTTTTTATGGTTTTGTTTGTTTTTAAAAAATTAAAACAGACCCTGTTGATTTAAAGGCTAACAATACAACTTAATTTCCTCCCCACATATACTTAAGCAGTGTTTTTTATATCTGCAAGTTCAGGAACCTATTCAGAAGCTAGAGCAAGCCTGCCCTCCTGGAGATACTTCTCCTTAAAAACCGGAAAAGGGACTTTTAAAAAAATCATATAGCCTCTAATTTGGTAGGGATTGGTATTGCCGCATTTAGCCATGATCCATTCCTTTAACTTCACCACTTCATCTGGAATCATTAACCTGTGACTTGCACTGCTCAAGTAATCACATTTACTCTCAACACCTAGACTACTGCCATATATACTACAACATAATCATGTTGGGTTTCATATAGTGCAGAGCACCTTACTACTTCCTATAAAGTAACTTAAAAGACTTTTTAGAAGAAGAAAAAGTCCAAAGAAACATAAGTTCCATGCAAGGAACTACATTAAATTTTAAAATTAAATGTAAAGCACTCAAGAGTCAGGGAATTAGAGCTGACTTCCAATCCTTTGCTTACATTCATGACATCATATTATGCTCTGCTAATCTCAGAAAAAGTCTTCCAGTACCTCTCCTAGATAGCAAATGAGGCACTGAACTATTCTGGTATCCACCGGATCCAGACCTTACTGACTACAGAAGTGATACAAGGCAGAGAGAAGATTTTCTATGCAAGAATAGCTCTGCAGCTGAAAACTTTGTCGGACACAGGAAATCCGAATACATCGCTGTCCATACCAAACACTTTCTATTGGCCCTTGGCTAATTTTTTTTTTTTTCATTTGCAAATACAGACCCGAGACAGACTTCCAAGGTTTTTTTACTAATTTCTCATATGCAAGACTGCAGTCCTGACTACCATAAAAAAAATCTGAGGAAATAATTACATGTGTAGCAAAATCTATGTACTGACAACAGCAAGTGTCATAAAAGGCCACAAACAGAAAGCCTTGCTCAAACACTATCCTCTCAGAAATGTGGGCTGAACACTACACAGCTAATCCTATAAATATCACATATATTCATGTAACTCACAGACACACTAATCCTAATGTGATTCAATTAAAAAAAACAAACGCATGCAACAAGATGTTTTAGAGTCCTTGCCTGTACAGAAAAGTTTTATCCAAAAAATTATCAAACTATTAAAAAAATTAAACAGGCAAGCCATTTAGCCATTCCTATAGCAAGACACTAGCACATAAGTCTTCCGTAGTCACTGTATTGAAATATTGCATTAAAAACTTTTATCATGTATTTACAATAGGCTTATTAAAACGTAGCTGTTGTCTATTGAATTGACTACACCATAAACCTGTATATCTGTAGAACACATACACTAGAGTAGAAAATGTGTAACTTACTCTAGTTGCTACTTAACACAACTTTAAATCTATTGATAGCAACTTCAATAAAACACAATGTCACAAGTATTCCAATCTTTTAAGAATTTAAAACACTCTTGGAAAAAATTACCAAATGCTTCATTCACAGCTATCTGAAAAAAAACCTTTTTCACAGAATCACAAAGTGGTTTGGATTGGTGGAAGAGACCTTCAAAAATCATCTAGTCCAACCCCCATCCTACATGAAAATTCAAATTATGCTTATTAAGCATTGGGGAGACTATTTTCCTAGACTTACGAATTTTAAAGCTCAAATCACCTAGTAGTCCAAACTCTGCACTACTCTGTTACTTTTGTGACAAAGAACCAACTAAGAGAGTTTGAGTTGCATTCACATTAATTCTCAGATTTATATTGAAACCTTATATTATTATGCTCTTCTTCGCACATCTAGAAATATATATATAGAAAATTCATCTTTAGAAAATAAATCTAAATTATTCTTTTGGTACAAAACATCTCTTGAAAATCATCACCAGCAAGTCTCCACGCTCCCTTATTATTTTGACTTCAAGAGAAAAATAACAAAAACCTCCAAATCTGATAGTCACATCTTCATTCCTAGAAATCACTGTCATCAGATTAATGAAAAACCCAACCTTAAGACATAAGGAGTATGCAAACATCCCATCAAAACCCACCAAAAATCACAGAAATTGCATTGTACACTCAGATTATCTCAGAAAGTTGATTACACGTGCTTTTTAGAAAAATTACTAGAATTTTAAAGTATGCAGAATCCTTAAGACAATGATATTAAGATTTCTTAAAAGCTTCAGTGCACATAGGAAAGTCATAAATAACTTAACACTGCCAAGATCTGTATTGCACCAGTTCACAAAAGTTTGAGGCATATATTTTGGGGGTCTGAAATATACAGCAAGAAACACCATCCAAAGTTCCTACTGTCTTAAACTGAGGTTGTTTCCTTCTCTCTAACAGGAAAAGCTATTCAAGATCCAGATTTCAACTCCAAACCGCAAATAAGTCAGCCACAAATTATGCATGAGTGATGATTAGACTGAAAATCTTTTGTGTTTGAAATAATAAGTTGAAATAATCAAGTCAGGTTTTCATGACAGAACTTCTGTTTAACCAGCTTAGTACCAATGCATTCTGTATAGTTTTGCTGAAGCTTCCCAATACTTTAAGAATTTTAAAAGCAGAAAGCTGATAGAAGTACTAAGGAAAAAATAATACAGCAACACGCCAGCTCACTCAAGTAACGCTTTTGGACATTTTACTAGCAGAAGTACAAATACCTCATTTTGGACAAGACACCAACATTCAACATTAAACGCAATTTATATCACCAAATAAAATAATTTTTTTAAAACCCAAACATTTTCTTAGCCCAAGAAGATAATGGAATGAGAACTGTTTTTCCTTTTTTTTTTTTTCTCCAGGCTGTGTAAAAACAAGTAATCTGTCTAGAAGCCCTTCTCCGCAACACATGCTGAAAAATGGAAAGACACACTGCGTCTATAGAAGCACTGGCTGGAAACACGTCCAATTTTCCAATTCAGTTATTCCAAAAGATCATTAATAGGCTGCTATTAACATATTAATGTCTTAATGACATTATCAATGTCGCACCTCCATTTTGCCACTTTCCACTATATGGCCTTTAATCAAGGCAAGAAGGCATCTAAGTATTTTTTCCCACCTCCTTGAACACTTTATCCCTCAGCATCTTCCTTAGAGAAGTTTGCTCTTTTCCAGAGAACATCCAGGTGAAGTAGCAGCCATTAAAGATGTTTAAACAAACATACAGTTTATAAACAGCATAAAATGGATTTAAATGGTTCAACTTCATAATCAAAACAGACAGGTCATTCTCAATATACCAGTGGAAGACACTTTGAAAAGGTGCATACCTGAAAGCAAACCCTTCACTATACACATACATACTCTTCTGCAACGCACTGAAGAGGAGATAAAGAAGGATACATTGTGGTCCTTTCCTACTAAAGCTCCATAAAAATCCAGGCTTGCGGAAACTTTTGCAGATTCCAAAGCAGTTTTCTCAATTAAAATTTCTAATTCCACCATGGTAGTACGCACAGAACTGTTTAAATGCACACCTCTAAGAACCTTTGAGAGACTCGACTGTCCTCAACAGACAACAAAAGAGATTTTACCCCTCCAACAAAAGAGATTTCACAATCTTTGTGGACAGCCAGCTTCAGTGTTTCATCAATCTAAGAGTCAAATGTTTTGCTTTAGCATCCAGCCCAAGTATTACCTTCTAAAAACAAGCATGATCTCTTCTCTTGCTCTACAGAGAGATCTCGAAGACAAGTCAATCACTCGCCTTTATGTAGCACCCCTTTTATAGATGCGAGGGCACTCATCGAATTTGCTCTTAGTTTCTTCGTTTCTAGTGTGCCTATGCCTTTCAAGTTTCCCGCACAAACCAAGTTTTATAAACTTAATATTCTTGCAAAGTCCAGAGATCTACATACTACGGTTAAAAAAATAGCCACACCATTTAGCTAAAGCCCTTATTCAAGGGAGCACTCACTTTCCTTGTCTTTATATTTAGTCGCACCTGTTAACATGCCAAAATAACATCTGTCTAGTTGAAAGGTCATCATATTATTGATTAATATTTAATTTGCCATGCGCCACAGCAAATGCTTTTTTGGGTTACTGTTAGCTCTTCAGTAATACTCTTTCCACTAATTATGTATTTGATTTTTCCTCCCTGTGTTCTCCCCTCATTTCTTGTTAACCAAGATTAATTACACTGATTTCCAATCTCTTATCAAACTTCTCAAGATCATATTGAATTCCGACCCTGAGCTGTACAGTGCCTGCAATCCATCCAACTTGGCAACACATCTATTTTGTGTTCACCGTTACCGAAAACAATGAAAATACATTTAAAACAGAACTCCACCGGAGGACACTTTGTGACATCCCTGTTTAAAAGTGAATTATTTACATTTCAGACTCAAAAGCAATTTTTCAACCATCTGTACAAGATCTCACAAAAATTATTTTAAAACCACATTTCAGTAGCTTGTTTTTAACATCAACCCAGACAATGGCAGAAACCCCGTAAAACTCAAGACAAACCCCGTATATTCTTTCCCCATTAGCTGCACTAGCTACTGTAAAAAAAAAAAAAGTTTGATCCAGACTGTTCTTAAGAAAGGAAACTAGTCCATTTTCTGCTTGCA